AGCCAGCCCATGCCCCTCCTGGCCACTGCCAAGCGCAGGACCAAACCCTCCCATAAAGCTGTCCCAAAGGCGACGGCATTCTGGGCAAACCCACCCCACACGGGTCCCCCTGCCCAGCAAGGGCTGGGGGGACAGCCTGGCCCCGAGCCCCCCCGGCCCCACCAGGCAGCCACAGTTTCTGCCCCCGTGCATTTCCTCTGCCTCCAACGCAGCCTCCCATCAGCTGCCAAACCCGGGAGCGTGCGTTCCTGCAGGAACAATTACACAGGATGCAGAAACCAGTGACCTGAAGGGTCTCGGGGCACTCAGGAAGAGCCGAGGTCTGTGCCCCAGCCCCCCCAGCTGTGCTGGGTACCAGCATCGCCACAACCTCGCTGCAGCACTGCCTGTTCCCAGGAGCCCTTCCCAACCCCTGCTCCTCCACAGTCTCTGCGCGTGTTTAAACCCCAAAGGGCGCACAGCTCCCCACCACCCCCGTGTTGGAAAGCCACTGCGCCGGCCCAGCACTCATTCTCTCTGCCCACGTCTCCTGCCAGGGACACCAGCCTTCAGACACAGCCCGTGCCTCCCCAGCCCCGCTGCCTCGCCAGCCATCTCGCTGCCCTAACCCTCCTTTTGGGCTGAAACTGTGCAGAACACCCCACGGGACCCCAGGGAGGGCAGTCTGGCAGCCACCCATCACATGCAGCCACCCTCCTTGGACCAGTTCTTCCCACAGGCATCCCAGTGGATGCCTTTTGGCAGCATCCCGAGAAGGTGACCCCCAGCTGTCCTGTTTCACCTCTGGCACTGTGCCCTGCAGCTGGGGATGTTTTAGTCCCAGCATGAAAAGGGACACTGCCAGCAGCATGGCGTGCCCAGGGACTCCAGGATCCATCCCAAACACAGATCCAAGCAAAGACACCCCGGATCCCTGCAAACAGCAGTCGTACCGGCTGTGCACGGACTGCAAACCTCCCTCTGCGCGGCCGGCGCATGCGGAGGGGACACTGCACAGTGAAAATGGAGATTTCACGCTCTCCAAAGACAAACGTACGGACAGGACAGTCTGGCACCACAGTGACAGGCACCGCCATCGTTACGCTCGCCTTCCTTAGCCTGAAATTCAACAAAACACCGACCAACTCGGCAGCGTTCCTGCGCGCCAGCCCTCGCTCCCTCAAATGAATCAGCGAAACTTGGCCGCAGCAGCGCTGCAACGCGAAGGCTCCGCGCCCGTTTCATCCCACATACAGCAGCAACGATGCCCCGCGCGGCCCCGATGCCAAACGCCGGCGAGAGCAACCCCTGCGCTATCTGCAGCCTGTGCCCGGCTCACGCTTTGTGCCCCCCGTGAGCCACACGTTTCCCCCCTCCCGGCTCGCTCGCAGGCTGAGCACAGGATGTCTGGCCGGTGCCTCCAGCTCAGGCTTACGTAGCTAACGACTTTTTTCCTCTTTTAGCTTTCCGCTTTTGTTTAACAGCCGTTGATCTATTTTTAAATCTATTCTGGTAAGAATTGGCATACCGGCAAACGACGCTGCCGCTAACGCACCGGAAAACACGTGCCCTGCATCAGGGTAACAGAAGTAAAAGCCGATGAGCCTGCTCCCACCGCTGATGGATCCGTATTTGTTGCTTCTGCTCATTTCCTCGCACAGCGTATCTCCTTCTGGCAGACAATTGAAGATAACTTCAGCAAGAATGGGACAGAATTACAGTCTCCACCATCCGAGACAGTAAGGGGAAAACCATTTGAGTGATCTTGAACGGGCACAATGCCCCAACCACCAAGCCTGGGGGATGCTGTGCCTGCCCACAGGTCTGTGCCCGTGCCGCTGCCCCGGCCCAGGTGCACACAAGCTTTGGCAGCAGCTGTTCCCCACCAAGTGCCGGGCAGCGGCTCTCGCCGCACGCGCCAGCTCAGCTGGTTCAGTGCTGACAAGCTGCCATTACGCAGGATCGCCTCCTCATCGCCGCGTTTGTTACCGCTGCTGCTCCCGAGCTGCAGCCAGACCGACGGGCACGTGCTGCTGCAGAACAGCATTGTGCAGATGAGGGCTCAACATATAGATTACCTAAGGGAGGGTGATTTAACATCCCAGGATGCCCTCTGCACACTGCAAACCCTCAATTGCACCCAGGTAATCCCCTCCTTCCACCATGTAAGAGACGCGGAGGAGATGCACCCGAAGCCCCGGGCAGGGAAGGGATGGAGCCAGGTGCAGTCGCACAGCGGGTCTGGCCCGGCTGCCTCCAACATCCCGCTCTCCACCAGCCAGCACGGAAAAACAGCTTTCACCAGAGATCATCCGCTCGGCGCTGCAACACTGCGACCTTTGTGCGTGGGGTGCCGGGAGCAGCTGGTCCCTCGCTGCTGCGCCGGGCTGGCCCCAAGGAACTGTTTGTCCCAAGGTGCCGGGGCACAGGCACGTTTTGGGGATGGTGGGTCCCTGGAGTTCGAGGCAATGTGCTTCCCTGAGCAGAAGCTTTGGCAGAAGTGATCCTCATACCTGCTAGGAAGGCCTTTATCTCCTCTCTCCTCCTCCCCAGACATTATCCCCCAAAGTAAAGATGCCTCTATCATCCCTTCTTAAGAGAGAAGGACTATTCCAAGAGCTGCCATTATCGGAAGCATGAACCAAGTTCTCTCTCCATCAAGGCAAATAAACCTGTGTTTTCCACAGGGATGGATGGGGACCCAGATCCATCCCAACAGCAAAACAACGCCACAGGAGATGGAGAGCCACAGCACCCTGTCACTGTCAAGGTCGTGCAGTACTTGGGCTCCCACACGGGGAGGACGCAGGGTCTGGTTCAAGCTTGCACGCTTTGAAACCCGGCTGAGCAGTCAGCTGCCAGCCTGCGGTTGTGAGCGCTCAAGAAAAGCACAATATTGCAAGTCCCGTTCCAGGGGCCCTGCGGCAGCGAGTGAGAGCAGACGATGCTCAGGATGGACCTTCCAGCTCCCCCATGTGCTGCCCCACACCCCGGAGAGGCTGCCCTGCTGCAGACAGCCTTGGGGCTCACATGTCCTGACACTGCCCAGTCACCCCGCTCTGCTGAGAGAGCAGAGGGAAGGGGAGGTCTCCTCGCTGCCCTGCCCCGATAACCTCCAGCGGTTGTTGCAAAGGTGCTGGAGCTTCAAAGCCTCCTCCTGGCAGCATGAGAACAGACATAAACACCAAGCTCAGCCACAGACACCAACTGCAATTCCCCCTGGAGAGAAGGGTACGGTGACAGGGGGCAGCTGGTCCCCAAAAGGCCAAGGGTTAATGCGGAACCGTGCTCAGAGAATCAGTAGCCAGTGTGAGACACAAGGACAAACCAGCCACAGCACAGGACCCTGCCCAGAACCCCCTGCGTTTTCAGCAGATCCCTCGCAATTTCCCTAGAAATGGGGTTTAGCAGCGTTGAGCTTTTGCATCTTTAACAGCAGCTACACAGCAAAGACACCCGGCTGCTAACCCCAGGGAGAAGAGACCCGTGCAACAAAACCACCACCACCAACCGGCCAGGGGAAAACACAAACCCAGCACCACGTCAGCTACTGTGCAAGAGCCGAGGGTGAGTGGCACATGGGGCACGTGCGGGGCAGCTCCGCCAGCCAGCAGCCTGCTCTCCGCAGCGGGCAGGGGTGGGAGGCAGCCCCGAGCACCGTGCAGTCTGCAGGGGAAGTGGCAGAGGGCAGTTTAACTGACAAAACGATTCAACAACATCCTCAGTTCCTCTCGATCCATCACAGCTGTCCTGGCTGCATCCCTGGGCACAGCCTCAGCCCGGCTCAGCAGCTCACAAAACCAACGTGCAGAGCGCAGCCTCTTGCTCTCTCCCCGACTCGGGGACAGCAGGAGGGTGCGACCGGTGGTTGCAAAACAGCACAAGGATAATTTGCACTTAGGCATGAGCCAAGGGGGGCAAACAGACCCTTCTGAAGCCGCAGAGCAGTCCCCTCCCTCCGAAGCGATTCAATAAAATCAACGTTTCACTCAAGGGAGAGAACAGCCCTCAGCACAGCACACAGCCCCAGTACTGGCATTTGAACCATCCAGGCCATTAACCACAAAAAACGTGGCAGGCGTTACTCAAAACAAGCAACTTCTCCTCCTTGCCCCCCCCC